TTTGAACTTATTTTAATATGAGTAAGAGTTTTTTTTCCTATGGCCATCCAGTTTTTCCTCATTTATTATATAATCAATTTTTCTCAATTATTAAAAATTGCACCTTCATTATAACTAATTTTCCTCATGTAACTGCTTCTATTTCTGTATTGTTTATTCTTTTCAACCCCACACATGGGCTAGAGGATCAGAGAGCTGCCTAGACGGAAGAATCATGGACCAGGACCCACTGGGTTCTGGTCCAGGCTCAGGGCACCCTAGCCAGGTAGCATTGCCAGTCCTGGCCAGTCCTACACACTGAGTTATGACTTAGAAAATTTTAAGGAAGGTAATCCAAAGTGTGGGGCCTCTTGTAACCCAGAACAGGGATCCACTTGCTTGGGTCAGGGCAGAACTATCCCAGTATATACACATTAAGGGTCTATTTCTCATCACTTGCTCCTTGAACTGGTGTGCAGGTTAATTTCTTTCAAGTTGTAGAGTTAAAAATATATAAGTAACTGTAAGTAGTGGGAGTTTATTAAAAGGCTGCTGCAACTTCATGTTATATAAATGTCTAACCACTATGCTGTATTCCTGAAACCAATATAATGTTGAATCTCAACTATAACTGAAAAAATTTTTTAAAAGTTTAAAAGTGTGTTGCAGCATTTCTGCCCCAGATCTCTGCTATTTTAGTATCACTTTCCCTCTTGTAGCTGCTGGCAATTCTCCCATTCTCTCCTCATCCCAACCTATGTCAGCCCAAACCAGGAAATATCTGGTTTAGTCAGTTACTCACCATCTGATATGGAATGTTCTGGCTCCGTCATGCCTGGCTGGTAGAGCAGGATTGGTTTCCCTAAAAGGCCATTGTCATTTTCTTCGGTAGAAACTATCTATCTAGGAGGCTTCAGGGTCTGTCCAGTTCTTGATATGCTTTATCAGACTGTCTTCCAAAAGTGCAGCCCCAATTTACCTTGCCACCAGAAATGTGTGAGAGCACTCCTTTCTTAGGATATTCGTTAACAATGAGGAGACTCATTCTCTTATAAATGATCAGCTAAGGTGGTAGACAGAAATGCTAGGGTATTGTTTAAATGTACTGGTGTGATTTCTTAGTAGTAATATTAGTTATCTCATCATATACTTTTTCATCAGTTAAATTTTCTATTTGTGAATGATTTTGTCAACTTAGAACTGAGTGTTTTCATGTCTGTCTCTGTGAGCTAATCATAACTTGAAGACAGTGGCCATTTGTTTTTATGGTGCATCGTTTCTTATCCCTTCCTCTCTCCCTCCCTTATCTTCTTCTCCTTCTCCTCCCCTTCTCCTCTCCTGCTACCTCCTCCTTCCTCTTTTTTTTTCTGCTCATTTTAAAACTTTGGATTAGTTTATCTTTTGATGAACATAATTTCAGAATTTTTTTTAAGATTTTTTTTATTGGGGAGTTGGGGG